GATGTTGTTTGGCAAAACATGAAGCAATGGGAAATATGTACAATGAACCAAAGGGTTTTTGACACTGCTGGAATTTAAAGGTGATGAGGCAGAGAGAAATGCAAGGGAAATTCTGCTGATTTCGTCAAAACAAAATCTGCTGATTTCGTACCCATTTCAAGGGGAAACTGTTGGGGTTATGTTGATAATGGTCGAAACTGGATGATTGATAGTTGGGAAATCATCTATAAAATATGGTTTTACTGTCAAAATTACATGGGGTGCTGGAAAATCTCTACTTGGGCTAGATGTGGCACACTCAATCAAACAGGAATGCAAAATTAATTGTTCCGTTTTTCATGTCCTGTTTTTTTCATAATCGATTACACTAGTGTGATTTTCCATTCCTAGTTTGGATCGAAGGTGCACCCCCCAAAGTATCCCGGCAAGAGACTCCAAACAGCGTTGCAAGGATACCAGATTGGATTCCGCAAGTTCCCTTTGTGAAAGATCTCTGTAGAAGACGTGTGCAAGATCTCCTTGACAGGTTCTTTCTAGACGCTGCTGTGCAAGAAAGATCCTTTTGTAGAAGGTCTGTATGAGACCAAACAAAGATTGACTATGTTTAAACATGTCCTAGAAAAATCGCGTTGAACATTACATGACAGCAATGTGACACTAAGCATCAAGCAGCACCGGAAGCAACCTCCAGCCATTCCGGGAATGCGCACCGACGCGCAGTGCACGTGCCCCGCGGGACCACAGACCCGATGGTGACAGTGATGAGTGGACTATTGCGCCATCTATATTTGATTGCGTACTAACATCACGCATGCATCTTTCTTGGACTTGATCAGGAACAAATAAAACATGTGTCTTGCTTCAACATCTCGAACGGCTATGCTCAGCGAACAGTGGCTTCACATGCGACGCGCAAACTATTTTGGAGCTGCAGTGTTGGTTGTCCGCTCTGCCTCAAAAAGAGTAGATTGGGCCTTTGTCAATCTCATGCCACCAGCGCACACAATTGAACACTAGAAGGCCAAGCAGACTGTTTTGAATGTGGCTTTGGACACGATGATGAACCACTATGCAAGATCTTCACACAGCAATGTCTTGTCATGAAGATGGGTGGGTTTGATTGAAATTGACGCACAATATGTTGCAGCCACCATACAGTCTTGATTGAAAGCGTTCACCTCGCAGGGTCAGGAACACGCTCGGGCTGGAAAGAAGCCAGAAATTATTTTCGAGGAATCGCACCATTATTGACGCGTATCTTTGGAAACAAGACTCATATACAACAAGTGCTTTGGAGCACATTGTCAAGCTTTTTGGCTGACAGTTTAGACATGGGACCGTGCAAGACCTCGTATTTCTGGAATCCTACTTGAAATCATTGGCACTCAGTTGCAGCTTGGCAATCATGTCTTGAGCTTCCGAATTAGTCAAAAGGTCTTCCCAGGCACATTTCTGGTAGTACAGGACAGCGTGGCCACCTGGCGGGCCTCGTGGCTCGCTCTTTGGCGTGGCCTCCTTGCTCTTGGCACTTTTCTTGTCCTTAAGTTTGGGCGCCTGTTCTTCCACTTCCTTCTTGTCAACCTCTCGCAAAATGCCAACCTTCAAGAGGTCTTTGACTGCTGCCAAGATGTACTTCGCTGGTTTTTCCTCTTTCCCCTTCTGAAAGTGGTACTTCAGAACAGAGCGAATGTGCGCAGTTGAGGTTGGACCAGCACATCGAGGATTGGACAGAATGATTCGCTGCAATTTCATCTTGGCATCCAAATCTGTCAGTCCTGGGGTCTTGACATCTGGCATGGCTTTGGGGCCTACCAAGGCTTGGACTTGCTTGGAGCGATAGAAGGCAAACCACAAGCACATTTGGCGACGCCAGATATGCAAGGCATGTCCCAAATCGAAGATGGTCATCTCAACGGCAGGCTCATCTACGATCCTATCAAGGGCCAAAGCGCGGCGGGCCTCAGCATACTGCCTGCAACGCATGGCTGCATTTGCGTACCGAGCCACATCTGTGTCAGCATAGCGTAGCTTCTGTTGGATTGGTTCTTCTACATTCTCGTGATTCTCGTGCAAGAAGTCGTAGATTCCCTGCAAAGCCTTCCTTAGCACGGGCAAGGCGAACTTGTCAAAGTAGTGGTCTTTGTCATGGTTGCTTGCCACGCGCCCCATCCAACCAAAGAAGTCAATCAGGAACTCTTTGCTGGATTGGCTCTGCTGATCAGGGTCACTTGTCACTGGCCTTGTTTGCCACGTCGCATGGATTCTCTTGGAAAACATGCTTGCAGTCGGCTGGAGCACATACTCGCAAAGCGACACCTGTCCATACACTTGGTGAACGAAGGTGTAATGAGTCAGCGCCGTGGCACCATCTCCAGTGACTGTCTTGTCATCTTCGCAGTTCAGCCAAGTGCACATCTTTTCTTTGTTGCCGTAATGCAGACCTGAGTGTCGGGTCTCCCTCCCGGATGTCACGGCATATGTTGTGGCAATCTCATCCGAAATGATGCCAGCTCGGGCATATTCTTTGATAGAAGCACGAATACCCTTGATGGTGGCATCCGTGCATGTGGCGCCACCTGCCTTGATGACAGCAGGGACATCTGCATGGGAAAGAAGCTTTTTGCTGGTAAAATCCTTCAGAGAACTCTTGCGCATGCTGGGGTCACCTGCGCAAACAATTTGGACTACGCAGCCACGTCGGTGCTCCTCATCAGGCTGCAATCGAAGCCGCGTGCCTGGATGCTCCATCCAACCAATGTTGCTGAGGATCGGCGCCATGAATGTCTCAGGCTCCCAACCTTCCTTGCGGGCAATGGTTCTCAAGCTGACTTCGAAAGGCACGGGCAGCATTTCTCGAGTGCTGAAGGCAAAGTCTGATGCCACAGCGTGGTGGTCCCTGGGGTCTTTCAAGGCTGCATTCAGCCACTTTAGAACGGTTTGATAAGAAGCCTCTGGGCTTCCAAGCCCTTGGTATGTGCTCTTGGTGTGAAGCAACGAAAGGCTTTGTGCTTCATCCCTGCAAGCCAAGTACTCCGACATGGCGTCGTGCATAGGATCCTTCACCGTGGTAGATGCCTTGCTGGTCCGACTCAGGTCGTAGATGTCAATCCCAAAGCTTGGAATGGACAAGCGGGCTGCTTCACTTCCACCCTGTGTGAGGGGAGGGCTTTCTGGGCTTGGGGACCTTTGGGTGGGCGGCACTGGGCTGCGTTCTCCTCCTGGCGGGCTTGCGTTGGTTGCTAACTTCTTGCCCGCTGGGCCCCCACCCGCACGGACAGGCGAAGCTGCCTCTTCTCTGGTCTTTCTTTTTGCCCCCTCAGCCACAGCCTCTGCTTCCATTGCTGCCTCAATCTCCATCTCTTGCAAAGCGGCATCATCAGCCTCTTCCTGGGAATCTTCAGTCTGAAGACAGAATGGGCAGTCATGCATAGGGCAGCCTTGCTTCAATCGGTATTGTTGCAAACAATCCGCGTGGCACACATGCAAACAAGAGTCTCGGCTCGGGGAGCACAAGTGTTTTTCCGCATCGTCTGCGAAATCATCTCCACAAACTTCACACGTGGCCATGTCTAGGAAGCTGACTCCTACAACTTGAACTTGATGGCGCGGCTTGGGTACCGGAGAGCACTTGTCAATCAGATTTACCTTTGCAGTCCCAAGCGTGATATCGACTCCATGCAACCAAACTGGCTCTCATGCATGCTGTGCTGCGTGGACAGCCGGAACAATGTGAACATGCTCACATGCCCTCCACATCTCTCAGTTTCAACACTTCTGTAGCGCGCAGCGATTTTTTTTTAACCTCGCGACGCTATCAAAAACTGCTTGGCCTGGTGTACAAAAGGACTACGTTCTGGAAGTTGATTGCGACTGAGAGCACGATATCGTCTATGCCGTTGAGACCCACAGGTCGAAGTGGACGAAGCCAGGGCGGCGCTAATCAGGTACGGATAATTTCCGGTCTGCGGCCTGCAGCGTCTGCAAACAAGATTCTTGCAACGCTTGAACCCGAGCCTCAGTCCAATGAAATCCTGGTTTTGAAAACAACTCCCAAGCCCATAGCGGAATGTCTGGCGGCAAATTTTCAGGCGGACGTTCTTGATCAACTTGACTGTACAGGTGCCAGTAGACAAGCAAGAGACGAACATTTTGCTCATCCAGCGCCCGCGGCAATGCAAGGTCAACTTCAACACCCGCAATGGGCTCTAATGCACCTGAACGCCAGCGTCTACATACGTTTGGTGGAGCATGCTGCGGGGAGATGACATTCTCCTCGTCAGAGGAAACTATAACGAGCCCATCATCTCCGTGCAAATCAGGCTTGTAGAGCAAGCGAATCCGCTGCACATCTGCCGGGCCGCTGCCATCTCCAGACCGCCTTGGAGGGTCAAATTCCAGAGCATCCAGCTGCAACCAGGTGTCAGCGCATTCAAAGCACACATCCTCTGTAAAGCCAAAGGCTGCAGCCATGGTCACAACCTCCTGCCAAGGGAGCCACACACCAAACGGAGCCATGGATCGCACACCACAATAAAAATTGTCCAGCCAAATTTCATACTCAGCATCACCGGGGGAAGGCATCTTGCGGCGTCAGCAGAAAGGGCGTTGCGTCGCCATTAACAGTTAGGGCTAGAGTCGGCTAGAGGCTTTAAAAGGGTGACTCTGATGCTGCTCGTGTGTGTGTGAGATTGTGTTACATCAATAGATTCAATGACTCAATGATATACTGTCTTGATCACAGGTAGACAGAACTAATTCAGTCCACCCGAGTTTTTCGAACCAAAACAAAGGCAACAGAGGCACATATAGGCGAATAGCTGGCAACAGTCAGATCATGCAGTGCAGCAGTGGACATCCAGTATGGAGAACCGACGAGCAGATTAATCATTTCTTTGCCGTGCTTCACAAACTTGTCCGATCTGTCCAAATCTGTCCAAGCAAGAACAAAGCAAGAAAGAAGCGATTTCTTATCACCTGCGCTGCAGCAATACGGTGCTGAATTACGGATCAACAAATTTCTCAAAAATTGGATGGCAATTCTTGTCATCAGTTTGCTGCAGCATGCGCGCGCAGTCTTCAAAGAATTGGATTCTTTGTGACAAAAGTGGGTCGCCGTCAGCCCACGGCACCGTGGATCCTGCTTGAAAATGCCTAATATTGTGGCGCAAAAATGCTAACCGTGCCAGAACTTGAAACCACCTTGAGGAGACGCATCTAGCCTCGTTTGGCAGCATCTGCTTTAGAGAGCTCCACCAGCGCTCCACAGCCACTGTGCCAGTTTGAAGAGGCACTCCTGCATCTTGGACTGAGTGAGCCACTTGGCGCCATTTCCACAATCCTTGCAACCGGAGCGGCTGTAGCAACCGCGCATAATGCTCTGCCACTGTGGTAGTGATGGCTGACCGCTTTCCTTGCACTCGTGGCTTGGCTTTAGCCACCCGACAAATCCCTCTTCTGCGCCTGCTGTTTTTCCTTCCATCAGCATACCAAGCACGTAGTTCCTTCACAGCCTTTGTGAAATCCATCAACTCTGCAAAGCCATGGTACCCCATGCTGTCATGAAGCTCTGCGCCAACGGCTCGACATGCGCGTCGCACCACACCCCGTGGTGGACTGGCCGCAAAGACTTTTCGCCACGTCTTGGCTTTGTTGACAAAGGGTTGCTCCAGGAAAGTTCTCAAAGCTGCCGCACCAGTCGGACCTTGTTCCAGTCGTTTTGACACGGTTGCCTGTAGATCTTCAACCACCGACTTCAGTAGAGGATGATGGACCTCATCAAGCTCAAGGAAAAGACCCGGCTCAGAGAGCACAGGTGGAACATCTTCTGCCACCCTTGGTTTCAAGGACAACCGCTGCAGGATGTCCTTGTGATCAGCAATGAGGCATGAGGCATCTGGACTCGCTGCACTTACCTTGCGCTGTAGCGCCAACTGGTCATGCAGCGGATCTCCGCATACGATGGTTGGAGACACGCCTCCACCTCTTGCTCCTTGGGCGTTCCCTTTTGGTGTTTGGGAAACCGCCTCGACTCCCATCTCGTGGTACTTGTTTTTGTAAAATGCATCAAGCAGCAAACGCTGCTTTCTGAAACTGTCCGTGGCATGAGCTACTGGGGCTGCCTCAGCTAAGGACAGGCCTGATGCCAGCCTGTCCTGCTTCAGGTTGGTTACAACAGCATCCAGATCAGGTTGCAAGTCGACCCAGTCTTCTGTTTCAGCTGCTGTTACAGGCTGAAACAAGGCCCCGTCTACCGTGACCCAAGCTAGGAGCACCGTATATGGGTGTGTTTTCTGACCTGCTTCATCATACATTGTAATCCTTTTTGCTACATCGTGGTTTCCATCTCCTCTGATCACTGAACCACTGTACACATTGATGAGCCGCTGCATCTCGCGTGAAGCTGCCTTGGTGTAATCTTCCAATGCTGCCATGAGAATGGAGCGGATGGATACAGATTTGGGCACTGCACTGCAAAATTCTTTCATGCGCCCAGCTACATTGAGGGAAAGAGCATTGCCACAGATTTGCTCCACCAAAGCTCGCCTCGTTGCCCTAGAGTTGAGGCGGTCGTAGAACAGCTGCACCAAATGGAGCAGGAATCGCCGTGTCATCAAAACAGGGGCTTGCTTCTTCACGTAGTGCACCAGCACGTCAGGATAGGCTGCAACAACATCATGTGTCTCCACGGTAAAGTTGTCGAAGATGCGCAAGTGCGCGCACGTATGGCAGCGATGGCGGCGACCATCCACTTGCACTGGCAATGGCAGGTCCAGAATCCAAAAGGAACGGCTCTCATCTGCGCGTGGGGCCGCGTGATGGGTAATACCTGAAGCAGCTCGTTCGGCCAGGTGCGCCTGCAAACGCACTGGCACAACGGATCGCACCGAGTGATCAACTGTGCATGAAGTGGCCAAACCTAGCTCTGCATTGCCAGCCTGCCAGCGAGCTGCCAAAGCTGCATTCTCGCGCAAAGCTCTGCCTTGATCTCCTTGTGTTTCCCCCGGTTGCTTCTGGAACAGCAAGCCTAGGCACGCAAGGCTACATAAAAACAATCTTTTGCGGGTCTCGGTCTCTCTTTAAAGGATGGCAACATGTTACAAAAAATCATCGAGGCCAAGCCACTCGCTCCGCGGCGATCATTCGCACAGTTGGCAACCTGGAAATGTAAGCCGACATCTTTGAGCTCACTCCGTCTGCATGTGCGGGTCTCTGTGTATTTGGCTTTGAGGACGGTTTGTCCTTGAAATGTTGCCTGCTTCAATGGAACCACATCAGCCAAAGGAATTTTTCTGCTTGTCCATACACTCAGAATGAACACCGGCTGATCGTCCCGGAAAGCAAAGAGACCTCCTCTGGGCTGCAACTGTGTGACTTTGGCATCACAGATCTTCAGGAAATGCACTGCCATCAGTGTTGTCAGCAGCTCCAAGGTCCTTCCTGCTGCCACCCGTTGGGCAAGACTGCAACGGTCAGGTCCCCTCTGCGGGCTTGTGCTGGCCTGCAAGGCTTCTGATGCTGGTGCTTTTGCCAACTTCGGCTTTTGCAAAGGGCTGCGAAGAAGCAGCCGGCGACGCTTGGATGCTGTGAAGGAAACTTGAGCCGGACTGCGGGTGTTCCCAGCGTCAGAACGGCGCTTCCGCTTCTTGCTTTTCCAAGGCTGCGTGAGCTTCTGGCGCTTGGCAGCGGGTCTCTCATCTTCTGCAGTTGGCCACAAGGAATCCCAGCTTCTTCTTTCTCCCGAGGCGGTTGCTTCCTTCAGCTTTCCTTGCATCTCTCCATCTTTGACATGCCAGACAGCTTGCTTCCCCTTTTCCCATCGAACTGGGGATCTGAACTCTACGGTGGCAACAATCTCGTGGACCAACGGCAAGGAGGCACAGACCCATGGGTTTTCAACCTTGCTGGCTTGAATCACTTTCCCTAGGCACACCATCCCGACCACGCAACTTTTGGACAAAGAAGCTTCCTCTGGCGCATCCGGCCATGTCTGGCGCAAGGCGGCCGAACATTCGGGGGGCAAGCTGTTGATTGACTGACGGCCCACGTGCAAATAGTACCA